GGGCCTGCCTTCAGGCAGAATTGTGCTCATCTGTGCTGCAGAGCCCTTACCTGCAGCATGAAGATGTGGCCCTCGCTTCACACAGTGGCTGCCTCGAGGTGAAGGATGAGACTTAGAAAGCCACCTGCACAGCTTCTGCCCACCATGGCTGGGGCACGTGCTTTCCCGCCCGGCTTGGCTTTCCTTCTGCCTGACGCCCATCCTCCACTCCAACCAGGCAAGCTCACTGCCCCACGTGCCAGGCCCATTCGGAGCCCTCACCTCCTCCCACATTCTGTGAGGGAAGTTCCACATCCTCTCAAGCGTCTGAAATGTCCCTGTCAGCCAGGGTTCCCCCATCCCCCAACTCTGCCATCCTTTTCCAGGCCCTGCCTCTCTCCCTTCTCCTCCCAGACAGCTAGCCCAGGACACCAGGACACCTATGCCATAGGAGCTAACGAGGCAATTAAACAGAAGAAAAACAAGACATATAAGTTGGAAAAGAGAAGGTCGGGACAGGGAGACCTGATTGTCCCCAATAACCGTTCTTCTCGAATTCTCTAGTAGCAGACGCCCAGAGTTTTAGATGAGCACACAGCCTTCACACATGTTAGAAGATGTAATGATCCCATTGACGAAAACAGTGATAAGACACGAACAAATTCTGCAAGAAACGTACGTACAACCTATGTGAAGAGAACACAGACTGAACGAATGAATGGCAGGCATACACTGTCCTTCGAGAGGAAGATTTCACAGCATAAATATTCCAGTTTTTCCCAATTTAGTCTACAAATTAAACACAACTCCAGTTAAAAATACCAACAGGATTTTTCATGGACAAACATTAATATTAAACTTTCAGGTTGGGTGCAATGGCTCTCACTGGTACTCACCACACTTTGGGAGGCTGAGGCAGGAGGACTGTTTGCACTCAGGAGTTTCAAACCAGCCTGGGCAACACAGCGAGACCTCCTCTACACGAAAAATAAACAACAAAATCAATTAGCCAGGCATGGTGGCACGCACCTGTAGTCCCAGCTACTTGGGAAGCTGAGAAGGGAGCATCACTTGAGCCCAGAAGGGTGAGGCTGCAGTAAGCTATGATCGTGCCATGGCATTCCAGCCTGGGCAACACAGCGAGACCCCATCTCCAAAAACAGAAAAATAAAGACAAAGTTCACTTTTTAGAAAAAATCAATAGAAAAATTATGAAAATGAAGAGAAACAAGGAATGATATTAAACTACGTTACAGAGCCACAACAGTAAGCAGTAGAGCTTTGGGAGGCTGAGGCATACACATGCCGGAAGATTAGGAAAAAGAATAGAGAACCCAGAGATAGCCTCAAATACATCGTAAAAACTTTGCTGTATTATCAAGATGGTGTTTGAAATTGGTGCAGAAAGGCAGATTTTTCAATAAAATATATTGGCATTCACATTTTCTGGGGGAAAAAAGGTTGGCCTTACCTTGTTTTATACATCAAAATAAAAAATATGTTGGTCAAAGATTAAACATTTTAGGAGCCAGGCATGGTGGCTCACGCCTATAATCTCAGCTACTCTGGAGGCTAAGCCAGGAGGACCACTTGAGGCCGGGACTTTGAGAGCAGTCTACGCAGCACAGCATCCCTTAAAAAATAAAATAAAAATAGCTGGGCATGATGGCTGAGGTGGGAGGATCACTCAAGCCCAGGAGTTTGAGGCCACGATAAGCTATGATCCTGCCTGTGAAGAGTCATTACGTTCCAGCCTGGACAACATCGAGAGAATCTCCATCTCTAAATGGAAAGGGAGGAAACTTAAAAAAAAAAATTTGAGTGCGGAAGGGTTTTCAAAGTATAAAAAAACTGGAGAAGTCATAAACGACTGATAATTTGGACAATGCAAAAAGATTTTTAATCCTAGATGGCAAAAAATAAAAATAAAACTAATCAGCTAGAGAAACATACTTATTTGCAATATGTCATGAACAACAGCCAATTTCCTTAATATGTAAAGAGCTTCTGTAAGAAAAAGACAGTCACACAACATCAAAAAATGGGCAAAGGATATGAACCACAATTTTGCAGAAATGAAATGGAAATGGCTCATAAGCATATTTAGGATGATCAGCTCCACTTTTACTAAGAAACATGCAAATTCAACTGAATGAGACATTTTTCTCCCATCGTGTTGTTTCGTAACTTTCATTCATTGACACGACTTCCGTGCATGGTCCTTAAGAACATTTATCGAATTTACAAAATACACACCATCAGTTTCAGGATTGACACTCTTCTAGGAACATACCCCTCAAATTACACTCCCACGTGAAACGCTGCGTATGGAAAGCCACTCGTTGCAGCATCATTTTTAGTATGAATGCGTGGGAAATAAAAACTATCATCAGCAGGGGCTGCGTCACTAAATGACAGGCAGCCTCTCCATCACCGACTCTGCAGCCAATAAAAAATAAAGCATCCATTCATTCACGTCTATTTACCGAGTGCCACTAACCCCGGGGACAAATCCACAGACCAGAAGTCGTGCCCTGGTGAGAAGGAGACAACAAACACATAAGTCAAATGGGGAGGGAAGTGCCAGGGAAATAGGATCGAGGGGTCAGCTGCTGCTGCAGCCTCAGACGGGCCGTCAGGATGGACTTGCCAAGACATCGGAGCAAGGTTGGAATAAGAAACCACCAGGTGCCCGTGTGCACTGGGGCAGGGGAAGCAGGGGCAGACAGGGAAGACAGGCTCAGGAGGTGAGGAGATGAGGAAAGTCCAGCAGGACCACCAGGATTCCTGGAGAGTGAGCCGGCAGGCAGCCTTGTGATCCTATTTTCATATTTTAAAAGCATGCCTGGCCGGGCGCGGTGGCTCATGCCTGTACTCCCAGCACTTTGGGAGGCCAAGGCAGGTAGATCACAAGGTGAAGAGATCAAGACCATCCTGGCCAACATGGGGAAACCCCGTCTATAACAAAAATACAAAAAAATTAGCTGGGCATGGTGGCACAGGCCTGCAGTCCCAGCTACTTGGGAGGCTGAGGCAGGAGAATCACTTGAACCTGCGAGGTGGAGGCTGCAGTGAGTCAAGATTGCACCACTGTACTCCAGCCTGGCCACAGAGCGAGACTGCATCTCAAAAGCAAAAACAAAAGCATGCCTGTGGCTGCTATGCTGAGGGCAGACTGAAGGTTTGAGGGGATCAAAGTGGGGAGTTGAGACAGAGGACTTTGCAATAACCCCGGCAGAGATGATGGTGACACGGAAGGTCCATTGGTTGCTCCTGCTGCTTCAGGATGTTCTACAAGATACATTGTTACATGAAAAAAGTAAGATGCTGAACAGTGTTTCCTAAACTAGCGCCCATGAGACACAGCACACACCCATATCTATGCTTCACTGAGTATAGAACGTATTGGGAACATCACTTGAGAATGGGGGAGTGCTGCTTCATGGAAGGAGAACTGAGTGGCTTGTGGACAGGGACAGCATGGAAACTGACCTTTTCATTTATCTCTTTTTGCAAATTTTGAATTTTAGACTCTGTACATAGAGTATATTGTTTATTAAAAATTAAACTACTGATTTTTTTAAGTACCTTAAATATTTGAGAGAGGAAAATATTTGAACATAGGAGATACAGAGGATTATTCAAAATTTTTTATTTGTAAAGAATTGCTCACTGGGCGCAGTGGCTCATGCCTATAATCCCAACACTCTGGGATTTGAGCTTAGGAGTTTGAGACCTGCCTGGGCAACACAGGGAGACTAAAATAAATTTAAAATAGAGACATATATTAAATTTTATATTTAAAAAAGAATTCCTAAAACCTATAAGGAAAATGGACAATGGCCAGTGAACAGTGACACCCACTCTCCTCAGGAACTAAAGGAGAAGATGCCATTATGAGCTGATAAACTGGCCAAAATTAAAACATTTTAAAGGCAAGGAAGGGGACGGTGCAGTGTCTCACACCTGTAATCCCAGCACTTTGGGAGGCCAAGGTGGGCAGATCAGGAGTCAGGAGTTTGAGCCCAGCCCGGCCAACATGGTGAAACCTCATCTCTACTATAAAATACAATATTTAGCCGGGTGTGGTGGCGTGCGCCTGTAATCCCAGCTGCCAGGGAGGCTGAGGCAGGACAATCTTGGAACCTGGGAGGCGGGGGTTGCGGTGAGCTGAGGCCACACCACTGCACTCCAGCCTGGGCGACAGAGTGAGGCTAGGTCTCGAAAAATAGTAATAATGACAAATTAAATCCATAAAGTCAAGGGCGGGAACTCTGTGGAAACGAAGCTTCTGGAGCTGCCTGGGAAGAGAAGCGGGCCCTGGTCAGGCCAGAGCCCGGCAGCAGCCCCGCGTTCCCCCCACCCCGCTGGGCCAGGCCGCGCCCGCAGCCCCCGCTCCCAACACCGAGACGCAAACCGCGCGGCCTCTGAGGCCGCTTCCCGCTTCAGGCTCCCCAGTAACGAGGAACCGCAAACGCGCTGCCCCCGGTGGGGACCCAGGCTGGGCAGGGCGCGGTCCTCTACGGTCCTCGGCCGCCTGGGGCCACAGGCGCCTCCCCGGTCCGAGTCCAGAGCCCGCTTCTCAGGAGAACGGCGGGCACCGGCTCGGGGCCCGTCCTAACCCAGCGAGGCCTCGTCTCGCCCACATCTGCAAAGGCCCTATTTCCAAACGCGGTCGCGTTCCCGGGTCCCAGCGGACTCGAACCCGGGGCCCGCGCACCCCAGCGCCGCCGCCAACCCCCGGCACCGCGCGAGGCCCACGAGGCCGCAGGGGACGCGCGCAGCGCGGGCTCCTCCTCCCGCCGCGCGGAGCCTCCCCTCCACCATCCGCGAGGATTTCCCTTTTAAACGCGAAGGCACCGCCGCGCTCACCGCTCGCCTGCCCCGGGCGCCACCCGCCCGGCTGCCCGCGCAGCCCGAATCCCCGCCCGGCGCGGCTCTGCGCGCTGCCGCCCTCCTGCCTGCAGGGGGCGCCGCCCGCCCTCCCCGCGCAGCCGCCCCTCTCCCCGGAAGTCCCGCCCGGGCCGGAAGCGGGGCGTCCACGCGTCTGGAAACATGGCGGCGTCCAGGAACACTGTGGAGGCCGGCCTGGGCGGATCGCGGGGACGCGTGGTCCGCATGAAGCGCAGAGGCTGCCGCGGGTCGCGCCGCGGACCTGGCGGCGGTGGGCAGAAGGTCCTGAAGAGGCTCAAGCTAGCGGTGGAAGAGTTCGTGCAGGCGACCTCGGAGGGCGAGGCTCCCGGGAGCTGCGGGGGGCGCGGCGCCCCGGTGCGCTTCCGCCCGGGAGGCAGAAAAAGCCGCAAGGAACTGAGGAAGGAGAAGCGGCACCTGCGGAAAGCGCGCCGGCTGCAGAGGTCGGCCGGCCCCAACCAGGGTCCCGGCCCCGGCGGAGCCGCGGAAGCGACTGGTCCCCGGCGGCACACAGCGGAGCGCGCCCGCCCCGCTCCCAGTCGGGACCCCTCGCCTCCCAAGGAGCCGCGGCCGTCCCGGGCCAGGGCCCAGGCCCAGGCCCCTCCCGGGAAGACCGGACCCTCCGCAGCCGCCACCGCCGCTGCCCGGAAACGGGCGCTTCTAGCGGCCAACGAGGAGGAGGACCGAGAGATCCGAAAGCTGGAGCGTTGCCTCGGCCTGAACAAGCGCAGGAAGAAGGACGGCGGCAGCTCCATACCGCTGAGCTTTGCGCGCGACGGGCTCGGCTACATTCTGGGAGCCCTGGAGTCTGAGAAGAATAGCGGCTTGTACGACAGCAGTGGTGAGGAGGAGGAGGAGGAGGAGGAGGAGGAGGAAGATGCCGGACAGACACTCCCCGAAAGTGACTTAGAGAGTGACTCCCAGGACGAAAGTGAGGAGGGCGAGGAAGAGGAGGACACAGAAAAGGAAAAGAAGGCGCTGCAGGCGGAGAGCGAGGACGACGACGAGGATTTAGAACAGGAACAGGGGGAAGAAAAGGAAAAGGGTGCGCAGGTGAAAAGGAGGGGGAAGAGAGTTCGATTTGCAGAAGATGAAGAAAAGAGTGAAAATTCCTCGGAGAACGGTGACATAACCGATCAGGTACCGTGTGAACACTCTCTGGGCCCTCTGGGATTTCCTTCAAAATAACGGGGCGGGGAGGGAGCGTGGCACAGAAATGACGCAGACTTGCTGTATTGATAATGGTTTCAGCTGAATGTGAGTAAATCAAGTAAGTTACTCTTTTGAGTCAATTTTTATGTTTTTAAATTTTCGTAATGTAAAGTTTAGGGGAAAAGCAATACAGAGACATTTTTGTTCCCGGGACTTATGGGACCGGTCCAGGTCTCTAAACCTGTTACCCCCCCACCCGTTCTGTTCAGGTCACTTTCAAATATCCAAGGATATCTGCCGGTCCGACTTGCTTCTAGAGTGAATTTCCTAAAACACAAAGCTAGTTTGCGGCATTTCCTTGGATAAAGTCCAACATTGAATTAAAGATAAAGTTCACGCCTGTTATCCCAGCACTTTGGGAGGCCGAGGCGGACCGATCATTTGAGGTCAGGAGTTTGGGACCAGACTGGCCAACGTGGTGAAACTCCGTCCTTACTAAAAATAGAAAAAATAGCTGGGCATGGTGGCGTGCCCCTTTAATTCCAGCTACTCGGGTGGCTGAGGCTGAACCAGGGAGGCAGAGGTTGCAATGAGTCGAGATTGCGCCACTGGCTTCCAGCTTGGGCGACAGAGCAAGACTGTTCAAAGAAAGAATAAATAAAGATGAAGTTAAGAATTCAGGATCTAGCTGTCAAGGTCTTCATGGGCTGTCTTGTTGCATATTTTGTCTCAGTTTTCCTTTGCCTGTAGCTCATGGTTGGAGTCAGCTGTATAGAATTGCCTGCGTTTCCTTTTCCCCACATCGCACTAGTTCATTTATGTAAATATTCTTTACTGAACCAGGTTTAAATTACCTAGCAGTGGATCCTGCCTTAAAAATGTCTGTGTCCTCAATGATTTGCAAACACCACCATCCCCCTGGTAATCTAGGAAATAGCAGTGAGTTGGTTTTGATTTTTGCCATATAAACTTAGATACTACTTTTAAACAAGTTTGAAATTATTTTTAGGACACTTTCCCTCCAAAACTAGCAGTATGTTTAATTTAGGTGTTTGTATGCTACGGTACCAGCAGTAAATTAAGGCTGAGCAAAAGCGTAGTAGACGGGGCTTTGCTGGAGACGGACAGACACCAGAGGTGCACAGCTAGGTCTGAAGAACTACAGGGGGAAGCAAGATGATGGAATGTATTATTCATAGCATTAATGGAAAGAACGACAGGCACAGCGTGCTGAGTGGACTGTTTACCCATGTGCTAAGCACTCAAATCAGGTGTTTTTTTTTTTTTTTTGAGACGGAGTTTCACTCTTATTACCCAGGCTGGAGTGCAATGGCGCGATCTCGGCTCACCGCAACGTCCGCCTCCCGGGTTCAGGCAATTCTCCTGCCTCAGCCTCCTGAGTAGCTGGGATTCCAGGCACGCGACACCATGCCCAGCTAATTTTTTGTATTTTTAGTAGAGACGGGGTTTCACCATGTTGACCAGGATGGTCTCGATCTCTTGACCTCGTGATCCACCCGCCTCGGCCTCCCAAAGTGCTGGGATTACAGGCTTGAGCCACCGCGCCCGGCCTCAAATCAGGTGTTTTTAAGCAGCAGTGATCAGTAGTAGCTTCCACCAGTTCTTGCGAATTTAATATTTAAAAGCACATATGACAAAGAAAAAAACAGGATTTGGGCAGTGTAGATTTTTTGTAATCTATTTCTGTTTTCAAGCAGGGTCTTTGTGAAAGTGACGAAAAGTATGTCCCACCTCATGTGAGGCGAGTTGAGGAAACAGTGGACTTCAAGAAAAAGGAAGAACTAGAAAGGCTAAAGAAACATGTGAAAGGTCTACTTAACAGGTGACCTTGCAATATTGTTACATTGTGTCACTTAAAGAGGTTGTCTGTTTTCTAAAAATGTAGGAATCATCCCAGCAATTCAAACAGAAATGATGGGGACAGTCGGTTGGATCCTTTTTCCTTGTCTTGATGCACCCAGACCCATACCTTGAGGAGAGGATACCCAACTGTTGGATACTTTGAATCCCCTCAGGATTTGAGAGTCCCCAGATGCTCACATTGTTATTCCAAGAAGCGGGAAGGAATGGGGCAGAGTTCTGTGTCCATCCAAGGACAGTGATGGAAGGACTGGCCTGCATCCCCTCTCTGCAGAAACACATTCACCTGGTCTTCCCTCCCCCTTACTCATTGCTCATGTCTGTATTTTGTTGTTATAAACTGATTGGAAACCATACAGGTGAGGCTTTGTCAGTTGTGCTTGCCCATCAGCTCTTTGGTTTTGAGGGTGTGTGTGTGCATCTCCGTGTGTGTGCATGTGATTCTGTGTAGTTTTATCACATGAAGATTTGAGTCACCACCATCTCTCATGCCGCCCCTCCATGGGCTCACCCAACCCCCTTCTCCCTTGTATTGCTTTTTGTTTCCTGCTATCCTGGAAATGTACTGTAACCCTCCATTTGAATGTTGCATGCAGCATTAGCGCAGGTGCACAACGAAGAACCTTCCACGTACGTGTGTATGCAGCCTTCCCCCCACTACCCGTTCAGACAGAGCAGCCTTTTCCAGTGTTAGGAACTAAGGATTTTTGTGCCACCTGAGAAATGAAAAAGTTAGCATTTTTCCTAACAACACATCCTAAGGCTGGACCCTGCCTATGGGGATATTGGATCAGGATGTGCAGGGGAGTATCCTCAGCTACTAAAGAGAATCTAGGGTATGCCTCAGTATGGCCACATTTCATCTTGTGAAGACAGCAGTTACATGTTTAGCATTCCAGATATTATGTGGTTACGAATGATACAGGCTGGGTTGTTGGGGCAAGATAAGAACTGTTAAGGGGTCAAAAGTGTACATACAAATGGAATACATTGGCCAGGCATGGTGGCTCACACCTATAATCATAGCACTTTGGGAGGCCGAGGTTGGCGGATCACCTGAGGTCAGGAGTTTGATACCAGCCTGACCAACGTGGTGAAACCGTGTCTCTACTAAAAATACAAAAATTAGCCAGGTGTGGTGGCTCATGCTTGTAATCCCAGCAACTCAGGAGGCTGAGGCAAGAGAATCCCTATAACCCAGGAGGCGGAGTTTGTGGTGAGCCAAGATTGCGCCATTGCATTCCAGCCTGGGCAATAAGAGTGAAACTCCGTCTT